TTCCAGTACTGCTTTAGCAAGTGGCAAGAAAAATAGGGATAAGTGCATTAGTAACGAGAGGGAGCATTTTGAAGGAATCTAATTGTAATTTGTCTTTTAATGTAATGAGTTTTTTTTTATTTTGACATTCACCGTATTTTTTGATTACATACGTATATTGTATATTATTACACACACACACACACACACACACACACATAATTGGTTCACGTATTCACGTAAAAAATAGACGACATACAGCATATATAAGTGGTGAATCTTGGATACTTTCGGGTATAGACACGATTTTATGGTTATTGGCAAAACTGCACGCAATATGCAGTACGGTGTCACCGTTCACATCTATATTGCCGATGTCCGCATTATGATGCACCAGCAGCTCGGCGAGCAACCAATATCCCTTCGAAGTTGCTAAGTGCAATGGTGTTTGTCCTAGATTGTTGCGCAAATCGACCTTGGCGCGGCAGCCGTTCTGCGAGAGGAGGATGGACGCGACTTCTCTGTGTCCTTTTAAAGCCGCTAAATGCAACGCTGCATTTCCGTCCTCCATTTGCACATCCACCAGGTGATGCACGTGTGTAACCAGCCTCTCCATTGCACTGCAAATTTACCGATTCACGTATTTTGATTGATCGATTTAATTTTAAGCGTGGCCAAGCTGTTGTTACACAGACGTGACCGTATTAAATCGTTATATGTACTATACTTTGTAGCATTTTATACACATACTCAGCGTTGCCCCTGAGCGCGGCGACATGTAAGATGTTGCAGCTGAATTTGTTCCTCAGTGTGAAGTCGACCCTCCCGGAGGAGCATAACGCGTCGATTATGTTCAGCTTGACTTTCCACGTCGACATAGGGTCTTCAAACAATTTATGCAATGCTGTGTTGCCATCCAAGTTCTGGAGATTGACGTCGCAATGATAACGTTGCAGCAGCACGTTTACGCATTGCACGTACTGATTGCAAACTGCCACATGCAGAGCACTACATCTGTCGTTGTTAATAGAATTGATGGCCGCGCCTCGCGATAACAATAGATCCGCCATCTCCGGCGCGTTGCTGTTTAATTAGAGCGTACCGATATTAGTTTGAGCACGTCACGGCAGAACCAGCAACGATACTTCCAACTTACCCGATTACCGCATAATGTAAGGGTGTATTTCCATTCTTGCCGACTACATGTACAGAAGCACCAGCGTTCAGAAGAAGAGTGCAGATCTCACGGTGGTGATCATACCCCGCAGCCAAATGAAGAGCACATTCTTTATTATTGTTGACAGCATCGATGGCTGCGCCTCGCGATAACAGCAACTTTATTATCTGCTGATTGTTGCTGCTCAATCAAACGAGTATATCGATGTCACTTTGATGTTACGGCATATGATCTAGCATCGATTTTCAACTTACGCGTATACCGCGCAATGCAAGGGTGTGTTTCCGCTCTTGTCGACCAAATGCAAAGAAGCACCAGCGTCCAATAGGAGGGTGCAGATTTCGGGCAGACTTTTCCTCGCGGCCACATGCAGAGCACTCTCTCCGCCGCAGTCGAGAACATTTATGGCTGCGCCTCGCGATAACAGCAGCTCTATTATCTGCTGCTTATTGCTGTTCAATCAAACGAGTATATCGATGTTACTTTGATGTTACGGATGATCTAGCAACGATTTTCAACTTACTGGAATGCCGCATAATGCAAGGGCGTTTTTCCGAGTATGTTGACCAAATGCAAAGAAGCACCAGCGTCCAATAGGAGGGTGCAGATTTCGGGCAGACTGTACCTCGCGGCCAAATGCAGAGCACTATCTCCGCAGCAGTCGAGAACATTTATGGCTGCGCCTCGCGATAACAGCAGCTCTATTAGCTGCTGATTATTGCTGTTCAATCAAACGAGTATATCGATGTTACTTTGATGTTACGGATGATCTAGCAACGATTTTCAACTTACTGGAATACCGCGTAATGCAAGGGCGTTCTTTTGAACTTGTCGACCAAATGCAAAGAAGCACCAGCGTCTAGTAGGAGGGTGCAGAGTTCGCGGTGACCATACGCGGCCACATGCAAAGCACTACACCTGTCGTTATTGGCGGCATCGACGGCTGCCCCTCGCGATAACAGTAGATCCGCTATCTCTGGCTGATTGCTGTTTAATCAAGTGATAGAATACCGACGTTAGTTTAAGCAGCGTTACAGCAGATTCAGCAACAACTTCCAGTTTACCCGACTATCGCATAATGCAAAGGAGTATTTCCCTTCTCGTCGACCATATGTAAAGAAGCACCAGCATCTAGAAGGAGGATGCATAGTTCACGCTGACCCATCTTCGCGGCCACATGCAGGCATGTCATTTTGGCACTGCTGAGAATGCTCGCATCTTGATTATTACGCTTCAGGATTTGCTGTACAACCATTCCTGCTTCTCTAACTATTGGACTCATTAACCGTTCCGCCAGTACTGCCATTTTGACCATACCGCGAGAACAAATTGAAAGTCAGTCTTGTTTTAATAGCATCATCATAAATAAAATCAATCTTCTTTTCGCAAAATAAACAAAATATTTGTGGCCTGTATGCAAAGAAGTATGCAAAGAAAAAAATTAAATTAAATAGAGCCAAGAACTAAGTAATTTATTAAGGGTTGTTAAAGAGTAATTTATTCAATGTGTGCGTACAAAATTAAGCGACTAAATTTTTCGAATTTAGAGAGCCCTCTTTATTAGTAAAGAGAAAAGAATAAAATTACATGTAAATTATTAAATTATAATTAAGTGAAATTAAGTTGAAAGAATAGAGCTCTGTAAAAAAAAAGATCATTAGAAAGTAGGCATTAAAGGCCAATTTCGAGACTGATGTACATACATATAGATCGGAAGAGCACA